TGCAGAGGGTAAGCTGGGAAACGTGCGGGGAGCTGTGGAGCAGCGGGGAGAAGTGATGGTGATGGAGGCGCCAGTCAGAGGAGACATCCAAGACACCGTGAAGAACATTGGAGAAGAACGTTTCAAGGAACTTCTTCCTCCAACAGGTTATACTCTGCAAATAAACAACAGGGACATGTTAACAAAGACACATTTTTTTCTTCATTCTTTTTAAGTTAAATTACTGCTCTCTGCTAACATGGTAAATGTGGTGTCCAAAAAACCCTGCTGCTAGCACAACCTGTCTAGTTCTCAACATCCTTCCTAAGCGTACCTGTTGAAAAAACAAGTTACTCCCATCGCTCTCACCTCATCCTGCTTCTGGCCAAATTTAAACACATGGTGGTTTGAAGCTAAGCCATTGGTTTTGCTTATCAAAAACCATCATCAGGAATTTTATTCCCAACCATCAATTTATAGGCTGTGATTAAGCTGCCTGATAATGATTGTTTTGTGGTGCTGGATCAATAAAGCTGCCTCAGTTTACCTAGGCAAAGCCATTCTCCCAAACTGAGTCTTCCCTAAGTATTTCTCTAGTGCTTTCTGAGACATCAGCACAATTTTTGCCAGTGTAGGTGTAAGCATGATATCAAATACTGGTTTTATCCCATATCCCTAAGAATTACATCTCTGAAGACAGGATTTATTCTTTGGTCAAACTCGCTGTTGTGAGATGATGGGCACGGTTGCACACTACAGCCCCTTTTATGAACCCCATTTCCAAAATGATTGTACTACCAGGGTCATGCCTTGGTCCAGAGCTCTACAAGTTCCTAGAAACAAGCACCAGCAATGGCTTGGAGGCGGCCAGCAGCACCATCGGGCTTAGAACACAGGGTGCCAGCCTTGTGCCCCTTCTCCCACCGGCAGCGTTTCCTCACCTCCGAGTTGGGCGGCCTGGTTTTCATCACATCATCCCACAGCTTGCGCCAGATGGGCTGCGTCGAGAGGCCTGCGGGACAACAAGAAGCAACCAGGCGCTGTCACCCCTGCTCCGCACCCCAGTGCCCTGCCTCAGAGCCCGCAGGGCAGGCGAGGGGCAGCATTGGGGCAGACCCCTGCAGCGAAAGGACGGTGCTTTGCGGTGAGGGGATGAACACCCACCGCCTTTCATGGGATGCGAGTTAAAACCAGCAGGGTTTGTGGATCCCCAAAAGGAGCGCTTACAGCAGCACCCACACGCCTGCATGAACCCTGCCCGGGGATGGGACAGGGCTCAGGCTTTTGGACACAGGGAGTATCCAAGCCCCGCTGGCGATGGTGGCAGGGACTGTGCTCTGCGGTGCCCGCCACCCTGCTGAGGCGCTCACCCCTCTGGCCCAGGGCTCCCATTTCCAGCCAGGAGGGTTCTGTTTCTCCACAGCAGGTTCCTCCCTGCAGCCGGGGGTCGCTCCGGTGTGGGGCTCATCCCCGCAGCCCGGGGGGACCCCTTCAGTGTGTGTATGAGGGGGATTTGTCCCTCGCACCCCTCAGGGGTCTGTCACCTGCTCTCTGTGCTGCGCCCTCAGCCCGCTCGAGGTGGAAGACGGTGAGAAGCGGCAGGAGCCCCCGCAGGAGATGTCCGGGCAGCGCTGTGGAGAGCCACAGGGAGACGGCGGCAGAGTGCGCGCAAGCCCCAGGCCCAGCGCCCCTCCGCCCCGCGCCGCCCTTGCCTTACCCCAGACGTCCCGCTCCAGAGCCGCCATGCTGCGGCTCACGGCCGTCGCGCTTAGCGAGAACAGACTGCGCGGCCCCTCCGCCGCCATCGCCCCTCTCACTGCTGCCCCACCGCCGCCATCTTGCGGACGGACACGCCCTCCCTCCCTCGCGTTGTCGCCGCCATCTTGGGAAGGGACATACCCTTCCGCCATCTTGGGAGGAGGAGGAGGAGGAGGAGGAAGGAGCGGGCGGCCATGCTGGGGAGGTCTAGTTGAGCTGGAGCTGGCTCAGGGGCGACCCTGTCGCTTTCTAGAGCTAACTGAAAGGCTAGAGCCAGGAGGTTGCTGGTGTCTCCTCCCTCGTAACAAGAGGTAACGGCCATAAGCTACGCCAGGGGAGGTTTAGTTTGGATGTTAGGAGCAATTTCTCCACCCAGAGGGTGGTCAGGTGTTGGAACAGGCTGCCCAGGGAAGTGGTGGAGTCACTGTGGAAGTGATCGAAAAACACGCACATGAGTCCCTTAGGGACATGGTTTAGTAATGGACATGGCAGTGCTGGCGTGACAGTTGGAACTGATGATTTTAAGGGTCTTTTCCAACCTAAATGATGCTGTGATCCTAAGGAAGACAAGAGGAAGGCAGACAAAACCATGTTCACAAAGGACGCGCCGTTCCTGAAGCACCACCCTGTGTTGGAGCAGTCCCGGCGCGTTTCCGCTTCCAGGGCGGGCAGTGGAGCTTCCGGCGGGTGACCCTGCCGAGTCCTTCTGTGCGGCAGCGGGGCCATGGGGCTGCGGGACAGCGTCGTTCACGCCGGGGAGCCCGAGGTGAGCGCGGCCGCGCCGGAGCCCCGCGGGACGCGGCCGGGAGGGCGGGCAGTCGGTAACGGCTCTGCTTTCTGTTTTCACAGGAGGAGGAGGAAGAGCTGGTGGTAAGTGGGAGTATTGTGTACGGTTCTGGTGTCCTCCGCATAAGAAGGATATGGAGCTGTTGGAGCAAGTCCAGAGGAGGGCCACAAGGATGATCAGGGGGCTGGAGCACCTCCTGTATGAAGACAGGCTGAGAAAGTTGGGGCTGTTCAGCCTGGAGAAGAGAAGGCTGCGTGGAGACCTCATAGCAGCCTTCCAGTATCTGAAGGGGGCCTACAGGGATGCTGGGGAGGGACTCTTCATTAGGGACTGCAGTGATAGGACAGGGGGTAACGGGTTCAAACTTAAACAGGGGAAGTTTAGATTGGACATAAGGAAGAAGTTCTTTACTGTGAGGGTGGTGAGGCACTGGAATGGGTTACCCAGGGAGGTTGTGAATGCTCCATCCCTGGCAGTGTTCAAGGCCAGGCTGGACAGCACCTTGAGCAGCCTCATCTAGTGGAACATGGCCCTGCCCGTGGTAGGGGTGTTGTAAGTAAATGATCTTAAGGCCCCTTCCAACCCAAACGATTTTGTGGTTGACAGATCCACAGCTTAGCATGGGGGCAGCTCAGATTCCAACTTCCACAGGGACATATGGCTTCCTCTTAAAGCAATGGGTCTCAGGGAAGCGTATAGGGGGAAATGGTGTTTCAGGGTGTCCCTGCCCTCACGGCAGTCCTGTGCCCGCAGGATCCTTTAACCACTGTCCGGGAGCACTGTGAGCAGACGGAAAAATGCGTGAAGGCGCGGGAGCGGCTGGAGCAGTGCGATGCGCGGGTGTCCTCCAGGTCCCATACGGAAGAGCAGTGCACAGAGGAGCTGTTTGATTTCCTGCATGCCAGGGACCACTGCGTAAGTGCAGCACCTGCAGGTGCAGCGTCCCTGCTGGTGCCGGGAGAAGCTTTAGCCATGCTTCCAAAAGCGCAGGCAGTTCAGGTGTCAGATGTGGTCAGAAGAACTGTGAGCCTTGATGCTTTCTCATGTTAAATGTTTGTTTTCTCCTTGTTATGACTGCTCCAGCTGGAATTCAGTAGGTTATTAAAAGATTAAATAAGTCAAACATGATGTTTCTGCCCCACAGATAGCACTTTGCTCTTTCAGTGTTGTATTTGCCATTTTGAAATTGAACCCTTTTAACCTGAGCTGAAACTTTGCAAGAGATCTTGGCTTGTTTGTTCTCTTGAGTGACCTGTTGCAAAGCAACAGCTGTGGGGCTCAGAAAGCCAAGATGCACATCATAACACCCTGCTGCCTTCCAGCCCTAAACTACGAGTTACTGAGGGCTTTGCTTCTTTTCAGGTTGCTCACAAACTCTTTAAGAACCTGAAGTGAAGGTGGGCGCCATTGTCCATCTGCTTCCACGGCCCATGTTGGTGGTTCCTGGATTCACAGTTCTGCTCCTGCCCGTTCCTGGCAGCAGCCAAGCGTCAGCCTGTCTCTGCGTCTGTTCTTGTGGAAGATGTGCAGCTACACAAAAACCACGTTGATGTTCTGTAATTTTCCATATTAAACATTGAGTTCCCATGGAAACAGCCTCTGTTTATTTCCTAGTTCTTAAGCTCCTTGCTGGTAGTACTGGGTTAAGGTGGAATTAGTGGGTGTCAGAGCTCAGTGGGGGGGAGAAGACTTCTCACTTGTGGGAGTGTTCTTTTTGTGCATCCATGAGGTGTAGGGACTGGATCCTGATCCCACAGGGAAGAATTTGTCTACTGGAGCCACAAAGATTTATTTCCAAGCCCCACAGACCAATATTGTTAATGCAGTAAGTTAATCACATTAAATTAAACTAAAGGGAGTGGCCCCTTTCTTGGAGAGGAAAGTTTCATCCCCCTGGGGGGAAAAACAGCTGGCCCTCGCTGTCCCCTAATGCTGCTGGAGGAGCCTCTTGGCTGTGGTTGGCTTTGCCACCTTGCCCAAAATGACCGGCCATGGCTGCAGAGGGGCATGGTGGGGGTTCCACCTGCTCAAACTCCAACTGGAGCACTAAGGGGGGAAATGAAGCTTCCTCTGAAGCACAAATCACCAGCCCCTTCTGCTGACCTGGGACTGCCCTGTGCACCCTCTGCCCCTTTTTCTCCGCACTAGGGTGTTCAGTTGCAGGAAAACTGGGCTGCTTCACAGGGCAGCAAGAACTTCCTCAGCTACTCATCAAAGTGAGAAGAAAAACACCACCTTTTAGATTCGGCTGTTCTTTATCAACACAGCAGTTCATAATGCTTTTGCAGGTGGATTCCCGGTTTAATCCCTAGTGGACTGAAACGCAGCTTTATTAGGGTAAGTGTAACATGTTCCCTTTGGGAGGGCTGGATGTGTTTTTCACCCTGTTGCTGGGTCCTTACTGGCAGTGGATATCCAAACCCGCCTCCTCCCGTCCCGCACCGGGGGTGAGCTCTCGGGAGGCGGAGCGGGGTCGGAGCCGCTGCCGGTCCCGCCCCGGAAGGCGCCGTAGCGAAGCGCGAGTGATGGCGGCGCTGGGTGCCCGCGGGCCGGTGGCGGTAGCGGTAGCGCTGCTGCGGAGGGGACCGGCACCGGGGCTGCGACCGGTACCGCGCCGGTACCGGTACAAGGAGAAGTGGGTGAGCGGGTCCCTGCCCTGCACCCCGTGGCGCTGCGCTGCACCTTCCCTTTTGTCCCCGCTAACCCTTCTGCACCCCTCCAGTCTCTCCATTTCACCCCCTTGCACCTCTCGCTGCACCTATAGCACCGCCTCTCCCGTTACATCCCCATTACGCTGCTCTGCACACAGCCGCTCCCCTCCTTGCATGCTCACTCCATGCTTCCAGCCCCATTCAGTCATTCCCAGTCCTGAGCCTCTCCAGGGGACCATCAGCCCATAGATGTTTAGGACACGGTCACCCTTTGGGGCTGCAGAAAAGGCTTCGGGGACTTCTAGAAACATAGAATCATAGAATGGTTTGGGTTGGAAGGGACCTTAAAGCTCATCCAGCTCCAACCCCCCTGCCAGGGGCAGGGACACCTTCCACTAGACCAGGCTGCTCCAAGCCCCATCCAGCCTGGCCTTGAACACTGCCAGGGATGGGACAGCCACAGCTTCTCTTTGCACCCTGTACCCCTGTTCTGGCAGCACAGAGCTTGGCACTGGATTGTGAAGGGAAAACATTATGGATGGGGGGGGGATGTTGAGGTATTTTGTCTTTTAACATCTCTGATGTTTTCCTCCCCCAAGGCTGCCACAGCTCCCCGCATCCCATGCACACGTCTGGCCTTGCACCACTTGGACACGAGCTACAGCCTGCAGCTGAAGGACCTGTGGCCCTCTGTCCGCGCCAGCTTGCTCTGTGAGCAGAAGTACGGTGCCCTCCTCAACAACTTCTCTGCTGATGATTACGTCACTCAGGAGCTGGAGCTGATGAACGCCACTGATTTTGTGTCCGAAGGCTCCAAAAAGGCACAGCAGGGTGCAGCTGCAGAAGAAGTGAGAAGAGAGGAGAACAGGTCCCAGGAGGGACCTGGGAAGGTCAGGACAGTGGTGCAGACAGAGACACAGGCAGAGATGTCACCTCCACTTCGTGCCTCCATCAACTCCAACATCAAGTGTTACACCTACCCCAGGGGGGACATCACACGCTTCCGCCCTGCACGGTGAGACATCCCTGGGACGCACCTCCTGCTGTCCTTGCCAGCCTCATGGGCTACATGTGTGTGAGCACCCGCTGCTTCTGCATGTCCCCATCCTCACTTCCAACTGCTCTTTTCTTTCCCTCCCTCACCCCTTTGTTTTTTTTATTCAAACTGGTGGTTTTCAGGCAAGACTCTCTGGGGCTCCTTGACTATTATCTCATGGATGCAGCGTCTCTCCTGCCTGTCCTGGCGCTCGACGTGCAGCAGGGTGATTTGGTCCTTGACCTCTGTGCTGCTCCGGGTGGCAAGACTCTGGCTCTGCTGCAGACTGGGCTTTGCGGTAAGTGTTCTTTGTCCTCCACGGGTAAAACAAGGCTGGAAGAGTGTGCCGAGCCCATTGATGTCTGACCATTAATCATTTCTGGTTATAAGAGTTGGGATTCTGATGTGGTTTTGTGAGTGACATTCCCAGTGTGCCTGTTTTGTCCTCCCAGGGCATCTGGCAGCCAACGACGTCTCCATTTCCCGGACAAAGAGGCTGTACAGCATTCTCAACAGCTATGTTCCCAAAAATGTCAGGGAAACTGTGAGTGTTACATCCTATGATGGAAGAGACTGGGAGCAGCTGGAAGGTGGCACTTTCCATAAGGTAGGTGATTGGGAGCCAGTGAAGATAAACCGATCTATTTCACTTCCCTCCTGTTCTGGAGGAAGCCAACAGCTTATCCTACGGTATAGAATCATGGAATAGTTAGGGTTCAAAGGACCTTAAGATCATATAGTTCTAACCCTGTGCCAGAAGGCTGTGGGGAGACCTCATAGCAACCTTCCAGTATCTGAAGGGGGTCTACAAGGATGCTGGAGAGGGACTCTTCATCAGGGACTGTAGTGATAGGACAAGGGGTGATGGGTTAAAACTTAAAACAGGGGAAGTTCAGGTTAGGTGTAAGGAGGAAGCTCTTTACTGTAAGGGTGGTGAGGCACTGGAATGGGTTGCCCAAGGAAGCTGTGAATGCTTCATCCCTGGCAGGGTTCAGGGCCAGGTTGGACAGAGTATTTGTGTACAGTTTTCCATAATCTTAAATGCAGAGGAAGAGAGAAGGCTAAACCACATAAGGAGTAGCATTGCCTTCCTGTAGGATCTGGAGCATATGGGTATCCGTAGTTGTGCCTTTATTTACCTGTGTAATAGCCCTTAAAAGTCCTGTTCTAATCAATCACCCGCAAGGGGTTAAATGTGAAGATTAGATAATTATTGTTTCTCAGCCTGTTGGGGATGTAGTGACATGCTGCACTTGTAAGAGAGAAGTAGCAATAGGTTTATTGAGACAAAAGAGTGATTTAACCAAAGTGTTAGTAAATGTGACAGTGGTTTAACAAGATTCAGTGTTGATGTACACTTGGTTATTTACCATATAGAGCGCAAGGTCAGACAAAACTGCTAGGGAGACTTTCCTGTTGAGAGGTTCAGAAAGGACTCCCTTGCTTTCTAAACTCCTTCTCAGAGGGGAGTCTGGAACTGGATCCAGACTTAGTCCCAGACTTGGTCAGTGATTTATGTCTAAGGGATTGTACGTGCACAACCAGTCCTTCATATCATTTAGCTAAGATTGCAAATTTAGCATACTGTTAATAATCACCTACCAAGAATCTGTTGTGGCAAGGATCCCCTCAACCTCAAGGTGTAACCTTGAGAGGTATCCTCACTCAAGGGGAGATCCTGGTGCGCAGCCTGCTGCCATGCAGGAGAGCTCAACAGACCATGGGCTGTCCACTGTTTATGGACTAAGATGATTGACTTAGGTCACATTTGCGCACCAGCTGTATTTCCAGCTGTTGAGCAAGATTTCATGGCCCTTGGCTACTGCGTTATCTGTCTTCCCAAAGTACAGCTTAAGCCAGATGCAGCCGTTAGGACCACCCCGGTAGCTATTGCTTAAGCAGGAAAAAGGGTGTGTTGGGGAGCATGCTGCCAGATATTCACATCCAGCCTTAGGAGCTGGGTTTGTTTCTCCAGGAGATGTCACTGCAGGAGTTCTGGCTGTGAGTGGTTGCAACCATAGGTGCTGAAGTAATGCCTACCAGAAAGATGCATAGAGTAGAAATGTTAAATGAAGACACGTGTGAGAGCGTGATGTTATCCCAACATAAAAAAGACATGGGATTGTTGGAGCAAGTCCAGAGGAGGTCTATGAGGATGATCATGTCTGTGTCTGCATGTTCCTGAGATGCAGAAACAGCCAGATGAGTTGCAGTTCAGTGTGGATGCGCAACAGTGTTTGGGCAGTATCAGCCAGGCAGGGTAACAAGAGTTGCTTGGAGTATGACAAGGATGGAGGAGTCGGGCAAGGGACAGGTTGCAGTAGGAGTCTTACTGAGCTGGACCTTATCTGAGGGCTGATGCAGAACCTCTGCGGCTGCAGGTCCTGGTGGATGTGCCCTGCACGACAGACAGACACTCTGTCATGGAGGAGGAGAACAACATCTTCCACAAGAGACGAACCAAGGAGCGCCAGATGCTGCCCATGCTGCAGCTGCAGCTGCTGATGTGAGTTTGATGCTGTGTCTTGGGGCTGTTTGTGTTACACTAGCAGCTCTCCATGGCCAGCACTGAAACCTCTTCTTTCTTTATGTGTCCCCAACTGGGAAATGTGGAAACCATGTGTAGTTTTCTGGAATGGCAATAGCTAAACACATCAAATCATAGTGTGTGTAAGAAGGGACAAATGTTCTCGGTCAGAGGGTAGCCACAGGAGGTAGGGAGGAGGGTCCAAGGAACGGGATGGGTGAAGTGTTGTCCTTTTGTGCAAGATGATCTCCCTGGGTCCTGGCAGTCAGCCTTGGAGGTTTTCTGAGTGTCCACATCTCCCAGTACAAGGGAGGATATGGGCGCACTTTGTCCCCCCATTTAGCTAGGAAGATTGAATGGGCTGACTGCGAGCTGGGGCAGTAAGGAAACAGATTAGAGCCCCATGGCAGCACTTGAACTGCAAGGGCCTCTTCCCTGCATGTTCTCTTACCCCTTCCTTTGCAGGTGCATGCAGGATTACTCCTTCTATCTGCTCTCCTGTGTTAAGTACTTTATCAGTCTTACAGATCTATTTAACTTGTATTGCCCTGGTCTAAAACAGTCCTCAAGCTGCAGTGAGAGTGCTGAGTCTATGGGGTTTGAGATTTGTCTCTGACCTGCTATGAGTTAGATGCTGTCTTCCCAATATCAGTGGGTAGGAATGCTGGTGTCCGACACGCTCCTTTTCTCATGACAGTGTGTGTGCTCATCTTGCTTGCAGGGCTGGGATCCTCGCTACCAAGCCGGGAGGAAAGGTGGTGTATTCTACGTGCTCCCTCTCCTCGCTGCAGAATGAGTGTGTGATCGAGAGAGCAGTGGACATTGCAGAAACACAGTTTAACATCAGTGTCCATGTTGAGGACTTGAGCCACTTCCGGACGCTCTTCCAGGACACGTTTTCCTTCTTCTCGGATTGCCGGCTGGGGGAGCTTGTTCTGCCTCACCTCACGGCCAACTTTGGACCTATGTATTTCTGCAGACTGCACCGGGTGTAGAAGGGGTAACAGGCTGTGCTGGCTACCAGGAAATGCCCCGGATTTCCAGGGAAAGCAGAACTGCTTTGTATTTATTTTTCTTTTTGGAATGTCCCACAGGAAGTGTGCTTTTTTACTTATCAGGGGGAGTGATTTATCCATCCTTCTCAGGATGGGGCAGATGGCCCTCTGTGGATGCTGTGCTCTCGCTCCTGTCTGACTGCTTTGATCATACAAGCGCAGGTTTGGGTTAACAAACACCATCTGGAGATCTCAGCCTCTCTGTCCCAGATCTCACGATCTGCGTAATTGAGTTGCATCTGTCTCTGCTTATCTCCTACCTTCAGAAAGAGCAGCCTGAGGTCCAGAAATAAGAGGTTCCTAAGAATGCACCTGCTGTGAGGTTGGAAATGTGCTTGGGATGCTCAAGATCTGGTGGTGGAAGGATCATGGCCAGTGACTGTTGCCATCCCTCATCCTTGTGATTGAAATGGAAGGTGGGAGCAATCCCACGTTAGATGCTATTTAATGGCCAATGTGAAGGTGTTTGTATGATTTTGAGTAATAACTGTGCATTCATATAATCACAGCCATCAGTGAACAATTACTGGAGTTTATTAATAGAGTTGCTTAATAGCTACATTTTTATTTTTGTGTGCAAAATACAGTGATGGGGAGGGTTCACATGGCCGTGTTCCTTACGGGGCAGCCATAGTTATATCCATAGGAAGTCACTCCAGTGTCAGCAAGACTATACTGTTCAGCTTTTGTAATCCTTTGCTGTCAGCATCACCCTGCTTCTGCAAGGGGCAGCAAAGGTGAAAATGAGGGTGAACCCCCATCCATGGTGTCCATCCATCCAGAAAAGTGCGTTTCATGGATGTATTATCATTTGAACCCAGCTTAAACCAGTCCCACCCTCTGTATGGCATCTTGGTTCCTTACAGGATCCGTGGTTATTGGCAAGGAGGACAGGGCAGGAAATGGCTTTTCCTTCCTCCTTCCCTCCTCGCTGTCGTCTCTGCACTGCTGATTGCAAGAGAAGTGGTGCAGCGCTGTCATCTCATGTTGCCACTGGCCCTGGGCATGGGGGACCATGGAGGCTACCCCACTCTCTTCTCATGGCTGAGGGTCTCCACCTCCTTCATGAACCGGAGGCACAGCTCCTCCTGCCATGGCAAGGCCACGCACTGCACGGCCACGGGCAGCCCCACGGCTCCGGACACAGCCTGCAGGGAGGGCACAAGCGGTGATGGGGTACCAGGGGCCTCAGACCTCCAGCAGCTCCTGGAAACTTGGTTTAGGAACGTGGCTCCTTTATCCTGCCGTTCAAGCAGCATTAGTGTGCTGGGGCAGAGGGGAGGCTCTTGCAGTTCTTGTGACAGAAATGGTTGCTAAAGCTGGGGCAGTGTGTTTAAGGCATCCCACCACACAGAACCCCAACCCACACTGCTTTGAGCTGTCTTGCAGCCAGATCCCTCTTTCTTCAGCATCTTTACTCCTCATCCATGTTCTACTGACAGCATGGGCCTGGTGAAGGCATCATGGAGCAGGAGGAAAGTGCATTGCAGTGCTGTGGGTTCCGGCTGTCACAGGGACCTACTCAAGCCTTGCTACATGGCTCCTTTCTGGTTTCAGCCTATAATCTGCTCCCCCAGTCTCCCCAAAGTTCAGTGACTTATGTGTTGAGGGTTTGGGAGAAAAGGGATTTTCAAGTGGTATATAAAGGTGATTTACTTTTTGCACCGTGCCCATGTTGATGAACACATTTAGCAGCCCTTGATTTCAGTGAAACTATTAAACATCCACCAGCAGTCTCTGCTCCACCACTTTCCATGCTGCGTACCTGTTTCAGGATCCGGTCCCAGGGGTCATCACAGTACCCTTGGTAAAGCTTTAGTTCTTCCTCATCCACTTCTGTCACCGTGCTGACAGGTACGACTCCAGCAGGGAAGTTCAAGACATTATACAGCATTGTGGAGGAGATGGCAGCTGAGAGAAGCAGAAGAGACAAATGCAGGTAGTCACAACCTCCTGCCCTCCTTCAGACTTGCACATTGCACATTCACATGTGCCTTGGCCTGAAATCCCAGTGTTTCTGATTAGAAACCACAGAGAGATTGCACAAGGCTGGTTGTCTACAGGTCCAAGTTCTACTGCAAGAAACAACTGCCATCAGATGACTTCATCCACATCTGTCTCCATCTGCTTAGATAGGTTTATGGTAGTTACCCTTCCTTCCTGATGCCCATAAAATGCTTAGGTGGGGGGTGAAGCTCCTGGTCTCTGTCTAGTCTCAACCTCTCTGCCCTCCCAGGAAGGTCCCAGACTCACTTACTGAGCAGTTTCCCAGGGTATCCCATGGTGAAGGCAGGCCCCAGGACAGGGCACAGCACAACATCCAGCCCCAGTTCCCTCCATTGCGCGATGAACTCAGTACGATACACCTTGGGGAGGAGAGGAGAGATGACGTGGAGGCCGTGTCCATGCCTGGAGCATCTCAGCTTCACATGGGTATGCATCAAGCTCTGCACAGCCAAGGAGGCAGCAGCAGGAAGCTGTACTCGAGTCAAGAGCATGTGTTTGCCTTGACAGCACGTGGCCAGACAGCAGCCAGGAATTGTAAAGGACAGCCTTCCTTGGGACCACCAAGTGTGGGCATTTGGGCATAAGTACCCTGAACAACTGATAAAGCCCTGGCTGGGTTGACCCAAAAGCCCGTTTACCCCATTTTTACCTCTCTTTTTGTGCCCTCTGTCTTGTCTCCTCCCCAGCACCCTGCTGCACAACCCCTTTCCTAACTGATGACTCTCTGACCTGGCACTTGTCATAAAGCCTCAACTTGTAGCATGATGCCAGAAAGAAAATGCCTTAAAACATACCTCTATTTGATGTTGATGATTCCACATCTCCTTCACCGAGCTGCAAATGGGAATGGTAGCAACATTTTTAAGCTTTAAGAGGAGGAATTGCTTAAATAATCCCCCGGGTTGATAAGCACCAGGGATTTCATCAGTTACTTAATACATATTTCACAACTTGTCTAAAGTTTCCTACAGCATTTGGCCAAGCAATTAAGCAACAAATGTGTGGAAGTGGTAGAGAAAATAGCCTGGACTTAGTACTCCTCTCCACCACACGCTTCCCAAATGACTGTATCCACCCAATTCCCGCAATCCATTCAGGACAACACTAGGGGTAGTGCAACACTGGGGAGATGTATTCCGAAGGGCTGAAGTAGCCGATGGAGGCACAGCCCCTGCAGAGAGCAGGTCAGAGGCTGTAATGAGCCCAGCCCCACACCACTATGGACACCAAGAGGAGAAGGTACCGCTCATGTCCATGGACATCCCTGGGGATGATGCCATCTCACCTCATTCCACTCAAGGCACTCAGATAGTCAGCCAGGCGGGGAAACTGGAAAGGAAAGAGGTTCCTGTTAGGGACATGACATGGGGGTGCAATAACTTCTGACATCCTGGGAAACTCCCTTCCATCCCTGGGGATGCTACACTGAGAGTGAATGGTGATTAAAAATGCTCATCATGGTTCTGAATTTACTTTGCTTCCAGCTTCTGGTTGTTGTTTCCCAATGTGTTACTTACAGCCCAGTATTTCCTGCTCACAGAGGAATGAACTGACTTGAACCAAGTCACCTTTCATTAGTTTTGATAAATCAAACGTTTTTTAGCTCAGTATCTCACAGGAGCAAGGCCTCCACAAACACTTTGGCTGCCCCACACTCATTGTTACCTTTCTGATCCTCTCAACTGAGAACCACAAAACTGGACAGAGAAGCAGAGAGAATGGAGAGAAGCCCTACAAAAGGATGCTCGGCTGGTGAAAGGACTACAGTAAGGGCCATCTCTTATCACCGGAAGTCTCCATGAAGCTGTGATATTTGGGAGGTCTCCAACACAGGGACAGACCTTCAGCCGTGAGTCCCTCTGCTGCAGTAATCCCAATGCATGACTCTAGGAAATTGGGCACTGCAAGGTCTAGTATTTGAAGAACCACTTGCTATAGACTCTGCATCAATCTTTTACAGCTCTTGGCTGGTCCTTCTCTCATTTCCCTTTGCATTAGATAAATCCCATCAGGTTCTAGGAAAGACCTTCCACAGTGACAGCATGTGCCTTGGCCTGAAACCCCAGTGTTTCTAGTTAGAGGTGGCTCTCAGTTCCACCACGCTTTCAAGCATCTTAAGGCGTTGCTGACACCGCTCTGCTTTGATCCTGAAGCCAGGGACTCACCAGAGGTTTAAGAATCAGAGCCAGCAGCTTCTTCCCCAGCCTCGGGATCCTGCAGCAATTCACCTGGGATTTCAAGCTTGGATCTACGGTATCTCCTGTGCTGAGAGAAGACAAGAGGAGCGGATCATGCCAGGGAAGCTGTTTGCCCTTTCTCAGAAAGCTGAGTATCTCCTGTTTGGGGTGGGAGAGCTGGGCTTGTTTTGCCTGTGTGTTGTGCTCATGGGCACAGGGATGGAGGTGTCTTACAGCACTGCTGCCCCAGGGCTCCTACTTACAACAAGTCCAACCAAGCGTGGCCTCCATCAGCAAAAAAGGTCTTCAGAAAGAGTTCATTCATGACATAGTGGATCCGAGGTGGACAAAAGGGCACCAGCTGCACCAGAACACAAGATGATGTGGCAGCCTGGGAACGTGATAATTTCCAAAGCCCTACTGTGGATATGGTTCAAAGGCAGAGCAGCACCTCCCCAGGCTCCACATGTCAACGGAGCCCTGGTTCAACCCTTTACTAGCCTAGACATTTCCCCATGGGATTACTCCTCCTTGACAGTGGTTTGGCTCCGCTCTCTCCAGAGCTGTTTCTTCCTCCATCAAGCTCCAGGCAGCCCCTGAGCCAGAAGTTACACCAGATTCCCACCTCTCCCAGCACTATCAACATCTCAGACCTGGAGTCACATTGCTATGAAGAGCACCACTGGCATGTTTCTGCAGGTAGGTCTAGATGGAGCGAAAGATATTTCCCATCCTATGCCCCATGGCCCTTTTCCTTCAGTGATCCAGGATGGTCAGAGGTCTCCATGGGCTTTGGGGAGGAAGGAGAAAAAACACCTCTCAGAGCCCTGCTTGGAAGAACAGTACTAGATAGCTCCAAGACAACCTGCCAGGGTAGAACACAGCACTTTATGGATGCTGCTGTCTATTGTGGACCACAGCCACCAGGAGAGCAGAGATGGGTTTGTTGCACCCCTCGCAGATACAAGTTCTCCAGTTGCCAGCGCTGTTTCCCCATGAGATGCACTGCTACCCCATGTGGGACCATGCCTGTGCTGTATTACATGGCTGTAGTAACGTGGCTGTACTCACCTGGTGCCCAGCTGCCTGCAGAGCCCTCCTGGTGTCCTGCACTGCACGCCGCATGCAAGGGGGCAGTGGGAAGTAGCCGTCTGTGTCATAGTACCCGACCCGCAGAGGAGTGGAGCTGGAGTACACCTGGAGCACAGGGACACCAGTGGAATATCTCCAACCCCCTGAGGGCAGGGCTGCCCTGTGCTGAGGCTCACTGCAGAGGGGACAAAAGCTCCAGCTGGAGAGGAGGCGTTTATGTCTACAAGGGTGTGTAGTGATGGGACAAGGGGGAATGGCTTTAACCTGACAAAGGGGAGATTGAGATGAGCTCTTAGGCAGAAGTTCTTCCCTATGAGGGTGCTGAGGCGCTGGCACAGGGTGCCCAGAGAAGCTGTGGCTGACCCATCCCTGGCAGTGTTCAAGGCCAGGTTGGATGGGGCTTGGAGCAACCTGCTCTAGTGGAAGGTGTCCCTGCCCGTGGCAGGGGGCAGGAACTGGATGAGCTTTAAGGTCCCTTCCAACCCAAACCATTCTGTGGCTCTATGTTAAGGAGTAACTAATTTTCTGGTTGCTGCCTATAGTTTCCATAGGTTACCCTTTCCAACCCCCCACCCTTGTCTTTTTCTCCAGCCTCCCTTTCATCTCATCCCTCCCTTCATATAAAGTGCAGCCACTCAAGACCAGTAATTCAACCAGTGCTCTGAAGACAGAGGTGGAAAAACCTCCTGAAGTTCATCTGCTGCAGAGGGAAAGGAAACGTCCTCAGCCAAAAGATTTCCTGATCCTGTCTCATCTTCCCCTAAAACTTTCCAGCTTTTTGCTCCTGATGTTGCCTTCCTTTCCATTCTTTTCTGGGGTTTTCAGTCTGACAAACTACATGCCAACTGAGTAGAGAGAAAAGATAACTATTTATAACCTATTTCTTGTAGTAATTATTAATTGTGCCTTCAAAGAGAGCTAACAAGTTATAGGAAACCAGTAATGTAAAGATAACTGGGCTCTTAAAGAATGATGCTTTGAGTGTGTAGCACCCTCAAAAGAGCCTTGCTGACTTAAGGACTCACATCCTCATTGAAGGGGATGGGGGGCACAGTGGGGTCCAGCCAAAACATCTCCTCACAGAGCAGCGCCTTCATGCACAGGGCCAGGCTGTCCACGTCCCTCGCCATCGGCCCCAGAGCACAGGGAACTAGATTGGGAAGAGGGCAAACATCCACGTTAAGCAAACGGGTGCATCAAACACCAGTCCACCCCTCTGCATGGCCATGTTGGCTGCAAGGGATGATCAGGGAATGAGGTGGGATGTTTCAAATGGACTTCAGACAGATCTTGATTGGCTCAGGCTTTCCCTAGGCCTAGAGGAGGACACAGGGCTCTTCACAGCATGTAGAGAAAAGCAATTAAACATAATTCATGTACCTGCCAGGATCCCACTGAATGGGCCACTCGCTCCAGACAGGCTGTGGGAAAAGAGAAAGGAATGTATTCTATTTTCAGTAATGGTGAGAGATGCCAAATATGTTTGAATAGCAGAGCAGGGTCTGCAGTTCAGGACCCGAACCAGTGGGAAGCTGTTAAATGCATTTGATTTATGTGAAACAGAAAACCCAAATCAAAACAAAATACCCTAACCCCAATAAATCTTAGCTTTAGTTTAACAAAAAACATTTGATTTTGGAGTTATTCAACTACTTCAGCCCCCTACCTGAGCCTTCCGGCCGTGGGTTTGAGCCCACACAGCCCACAGAAGCTGGAGGGCAGGCGGATGCTGCCGCCGATGTCCGAGCCGATGCCCAGGATGGAGCCTCCCCCTGCGATCAGAGCTCCCTCCCCTCCCGAGGAGCCCCCGGGGCTCTTGTGGTCGTTGAAGGGGTTCAGGGTCTGGCCGAAGATGGGATTGCTGCAATCATAGCTGGGGAGAAGAAAACCAGCAAGTGGGCTGTCAGAAATAGCACAATGTCTTCAGTTTGTTGGCTTTCCCTTCCAATGGGAGTGTGGCATAGCCAAACCTCATCCTTCCATCCTGTAAATCCCTCAGGACATGGCTCATTCTCATAATCCTCTGCTTTCCCTCCCAGGCATAAGTACACTTGGTTTCTCTTATGTTATGGAAGGTTTTTTCATCTTAATCTTATCTGAAAGCTATTTTCAGTTGAACTGAGGTTGTTGGCAGCTGATGGAAGCAGGACTCATCAAAGCAACGTCTCAGGAGACAGGAAGAAACCTGTCCCAGGGCCTACAGGGTGGGTTATAGCTTCAGGAGCACAACCAGAAGAAAGATTTCTAATGATGTATGTTACTTGAAGAGGGATTGTGGCACGTTGGTCATTGCAAAAGGGATGGCCCCCTGGCTCTTCAAAACCTTGACTAGGACGCTGTCCTCCTGCACCACAGTGCCCAGGCACTGCACAAGCCCGCAGGTCGACAGATGCCCCTGTAGAGAGGATAAGTGACAGTGGACATCGTCAGCAAGCTGTCCTTGCTCTTTTCCATGCTATTTCTCTCCCCTGTCCCAGATGCCACTCCATAGGTACACTAGCTCAAGGATCAAACCTAGTGTCCTGCTGCCCGAGCAGAGTCACCAGTGGATGTTCAGAGAGGGAATATACACCCCATGCAAACACAGTGCAGTGCTTTTTCAGTTAGCCTTGGTGTTTGGGGCTTGCTTTGGGCTTAGAGCCATTTAACTGTGTTGGTAAGTCAACATGGAGGAGACTGACTAACAGATACAGCTCAGGAGTGTGTGGTCAGTCCTCATCAGGGTTTGTCTGTGACAGGGGGGCCTCATGCACAAGCTCTTTGCTAAGGGGCTCAGTGGCCAGGCTACTGCACAACAGGGATTTGAGGTTAACGGGTCCTGCTACTAATGACTTTCTAGAAGCTGAGCCATGTTTTAATCCCCAAGACTGCAAACCTCTGAGTAACAGTCTGAGTGATGGCCCAAACAACCCAGCCTGTGCCATCTCTTGTATCAGAAATCATTTGAATCATAGAGTGGTTTGGGTTGGAAGGAGCTTCAGAGATCATCAAGTTCCAACCCCCCTGTCATGGGCTGGGACACCTTCCACTAGACCAGGCTGCTCAAAGCCTTATCCAACCTGGCCTTTGGTTGTATTTGTATGTGTAACTATTCACCACTTGGGTTTTTTTTTGCTAAAGGGGACTTCTAACCGCCAGGGTTGCAGCTGCAATGGCACGTAGAGCTACAGCCTCAGACCCAGCCGGGCTCCCCTGGTGTAAGCATGGAGGGCTCAGGGCCATTCCTCATTCTCTGTGTCCCACCACTTCACCACCCAGCTCAGCTCATGATGGGACAAAAGGTAAGCACCTTGTGGCCGATGTGGTCCTTGATGCTGACGGGGATGCCATACAGCAGCCCTTTCTCCCTCTGCTGTTGTACTTCCTGGAGCTGCTCCTCACACTCAGGGATGAAATGTCGCAGGCAGTTTGTCTGCTGGGTCACTTCCAGGGCCTTTGCAAGACACATAGAGGAATAGGTGTTAGTTAAGAATAGCATAATTTGGTAGCTACCTGGATATTCAGAACAAGGACTGGTGGCTTGGCATGAATGGTAACCACCTTTCCGCAGATCATCCCAGCTCAAGCCATCTCAAAGGATTGTCTAGTCATGAGTCTGACCCACGAAAGAGAGAGATCCCTGCCTTTTCATATCATTCTCCTGTATCTGCTATATTAAAGACTTGCCATAATCACTAGCTCCAAGTCTTCTCAGCCACCTGCCCACACACCATGGCATGGAGAACATAAGTGATTTGCCCATCACCTCACCTTCTCTATGTAGGTGTAGAGGACAGTCTTGGGGGACAAAGACCCTTCCCGCAGTCTCCCAGTGAGTTCCAACAGGGGCAGGGACAGGATGGCATCTGTCTGGACACTGGGGACCTGCAAGGGGAAGATGAAGGGGATGCCAGGACAGCAGTTCCAGTTACTCTTTGGCTCAGGGGGGACAAGTCTCTTGAGTTGTGCCAACATTATCGATATTGCTGGAAAGACGGATGCTGCACGTGGGGCTTCAGACCTTTTGCTGCTGAGTGTTTCATCCAGAGTTTGGCTGCACACACAGGAGTCCTTTTGTCTCTGAAGGTGTACAAGAGCTTCATGCATCCACTGCAGCAGAGGACAAGGCAATGCCTCACGTCAGAGACTTCCTCCTGGCACTGTAGGACTTACCCGCTGACCAAGAGTTAACCTTGGCTGAGAAAGCACCAGCCTGGGCAGAAGGTACCAAAGTCCTTGCGCAGAAGCCTCAGGCTGGCCCTTCACCCCTCAGAATGGGTACAGCCAGCGTGGGTCAGCCTGGTCTGAGGACAAACATCTCACAGCTCAAGCCCAGCAAAGTACAGATGAGTCAGTGGGGACTCACAGGTGGGTAAGGTCTATTCATGTGATGAAAACTGGCGGTTCTCAATACCACCACTTTTTTAAGGTTTTATATAATATTTATAGATACATGTATTTAAGAAAAAAGGTTGTAAAGATATGTATCACTTGAGGCAGGTATGATTTATCTCTAGGTGTGTTACCTGTGTAAACATGAGCTGGTTTAACCAGTATCCCTACTCAGAAGTGAATGGAGCAGGGAAGAAAGGTGATTAGAAATCAGTGTTGCAGTAGGAATTCAGGGCCACATCTATGCTGGTTGGGTGCCTGCCTCATTCATCTGTGTCGTGTCCTGGTTGTTCCCAGGGGACACTGAATGCCCTGTGCTTCATTAGTGTTAAGTTAGGCCAAGCATCTTCTGGGCTGCCTGCTGGGGCAGGTCTCACTTGTTGGGAATCCTCCATCCAGAAGCCAGGTTTTGGAGACAAAGATATAGGGATGTGGACAGATGTGTAAGCTTAGAGTTAGGAAGGGAAGAAGTTTTCTTACTTCTATGCATAGAGGCAAGAGACATTTCTAGTTTCCAAATGAACTGGGTTTGCATCAGTGAACGTCTACAGTGCTTCATCATTTTGAGCCAGTGTGGTTCCCTTCCTCCCAAGGCAGCCTTTCCTCTCGTTGAGGGCACGGCTCCCCTGCACTCCTTGTTATAAAAGCTATGGAGGCATGAGCTGAAAGGGGGAGCTGCAGAACCATCAGCAGACACCCCGGTGGCACTCAGACCCCCCAGAAGGATGGGTTACCTGCTCCCTGAACTGCTGGGCGGCCTTTGCCATTTTCTTCACACCCTCATCCCGGGTCCTCCGAGCCTCTTCCATTCTCTTCTGGATCTGCCTTTTGCCCAGCCATTTCCAGACCACCACGGCTGCTGCCGAGCCACAGAGCAGGGCGAAGGCAGCAGAAGGGTCCATCTCCCTCTCTGGCAGGAGCTGTCTCAGATGTTGCTGGATCATAACGTGGCCTTCTCGTCTCCGGGGATGGAGTGAGAAAGAAAGGAGACCTTCCCTGCCTTCCCAGACCTGTCCCTTCTCCCAGCACCACTGTCCCGGATCAGCAAACAGTTTATAAGCCTAAGGCTGACCTCTGCAAAGCTGCCTTCAGTAGAGCATGCAGTGGAGAATGATTGACTGGGAAATGGAAACGGTGAAGCTTGGCCAGTGAACCTTGGGGCACTGGGTTTACAGGGGCTTTCTGGGCTGCAGGAAGTTCTTTGCTGGGGAGGAAGGGCTGTGGGATCAGCTGAACAAAAGCAGCAAGGAAATAGCTGGTCTTCTATTTCCTGTGTAGCTGGAGAGGACAATGGGAGAAGGGGAAAAAACAGCCTGAAAACACAAGACTTCCCTGCAGAGGGATGGGGAATGATGATGATGAAAGGATGCATGGCTGTGGGGACCCACTTGCTCACCAAATCCCTTAGCCTGTGCTGCTCCCATGGTGGGCAGAGGCTGTTTCAGGCAGCCTGTGGAATAGGGCTCAGTACTGCTGTGATTTCTTCATGCACTATAAGCAGAGGCTGTTCCAGCCCATGATACAGCACACCGGCATGGCCTTAGGAGTGGAAAATCCCACAGTGTAGCAGGCCAGAAGCTATTTCCAACAGGCATTGGGATGACTAGTGTCTGAGGTCTTCCAAGCATGCATGCCTTTCACTACAAGCACACAAGAACCAGGCACTGAGCTGAATAACCCATCAAATATCAGCCCCAAACCAAATGCCATGGTCTGTCTGTGATCTCTGATGGTTTTGGATGATGAGCCCTCCTATGGGTCCCACCCTAGAAAAGGCTTTTGGGCAGCCAGATTGTGCATTACAAAGCTTTGAAAGATTGCACTTGATGGAAAAGAGGCCCAGAACCTGGTCCTGCTCCAGCAGGGTGTAGAACTGGATGTGGAAAGGGAAGTGAAGAGTCTTCTCCCATGAGGACTGGTTAGTCCTCTAATAAACATTTTTTCACCCATTATCATATCCCTTCTTTGCCGTTACGAGTTCACTGTTGTTTTCTGTAACAATTCGTGTCATCCATAGATGTTCTTCTCTTGGGTCTTAACTGGGGCAATTTATGGGCTCTGAACAGAGGATGCCAAACCCAATTCTAAGAAACAATCCAGAGCTGTCAGCAATTAGCTGTATGGTAACAAATGAAGCTGGCCTTTTACTGTGTTCCCTTTCAGTGGCACCCTTGCTCAGAGGAAGCCCCCTCAGGGAAGGCATTGCTGGCTTTATGAAGGCACTGACATGGGGACATGCCTGCAGCCTGTCCAGCTCCTGCCCCACGCTGCTGGCTGCAGCAGGTACCTCTGGAAGGTGCATGTGGATAGGGGCAGCACACAGCAATACCCAGCGCTCTTCCAGCCTCTGGGAATCTGTGCAAGATTGCCAAGTCAGAGGTGGGCTCTTTGCCTATATGACAGCGATATGACCTCTATTAGGGGCTGAACATAGGTGGGAGGCTTCTTCCTTGCACTGAGGAGGGTCAGGGCATTGGCTTCCCACATCTGGCTGCACACTGGGATCTGTGCTCCGATCTTGCCCTTTAGACACTTAGCAAATGTTTAACAGAGAAAGATCGAGCCGTGTCTGAACCGACTTGGCGTTTCAAAGGGCAGATATCAGCAGGCACAGCTGCATTTCCAGGCAGCTGGATGCTGCTGAGGAAGCCCCTTTCCCTATCAGTGTGTGGGCATACCCACCTCCTCCATGAGCTGGAGGTAGGGCTCCTTCTGCCACTGTAAGGCCATGTACAGCACTGCTTTGGGACAGCCATAAAGCTCCTGCCACAGCCTACAGTGCAGACACATGCAGTGGGGAGTGACTGCAGGGAGTGAAGGCTGAATCCACCTTTAGGATGGGGATGGTTTCAAGACCTGTGTTTTGCACCCTCTGAGTAGATCTCCTGAGGTGCTCCAGGAGCCATATGAAATGAAAGAGTTCCTGCTGCAGAGGGGAGCAGCTACACAGAGGTGGACAGTCTGGGTCACAAGAGGGTGGCTTTGTGTGGACCCACATCCAGGCAAAGAGGAGCAGGGGGTGCTTGGGAGAAAAGCCTGCTGAGAAAGAGACCATTTGTCCCCTGGGGAAACCGAGATAGGGAAGCAAAGGGATGTCCCAAGTCAAATCTCAGGTCCATATCAGAGACCTGCCCGATTCACAGGTCAGCGTTCACCCCTCTGCAGCACACTAGTGTGCACTGACCAACCAAGGCCAAGCACAACGTTTTGGGGATGTTTTCTCACATGAATCAATCCAGGCCCCACGTCAAACTCACCCGTGGAGTCAGGATGAAAACCAAGACCCTTTTCCCACGAGGAGTCAGCCTGTAGCAGCTCATCTGGAATTTCGTTGTGGCATCCACAACGCCGCCTTCATTTGGACCATCACAGAAGAAAAGCAGTCAAACCAACTCAGTCCACCCTGTCCACAGCAAGAGCTGCACTGTCTTTGCTTGCAAAAGTAAAATTGCAGTGACTTATTGTCATCACACTCTATCCAACACCTTCAGCTCTCAAGCAGGCTGAGTTTGGACAGAAATGTCCTATAATTAAACAGTCTTCTCTCTAAGTTAGTGATAATTATTTTTAAGTCAGTTTTGACTGCATTCTGATTAAAGTCATAAAGAATAAATCCGGACAGTTGTATCTCACGTTCATGTGTTTGGAACCAAACACTCTGATGTGCTTTTTCCTAACAGTTTACACAACAGCACGTGCAAATTACACTGCTCTGAAAGTACTTTAAAGGCATTCACAAAATGCTCAGATCACAGTGAAATGGGCTGGTCCCCTCTGCAGAAGTTCTTCCAGTTGACTCAGAGGGATGAGTGAATGTTTTCTGGGAACTCTCCAGTTCCTGAGTCATTTCAGCCTGGAGTAGATATTGAAAGCATGAGACTTTCCTAAATTCCAGTCCAACTCCACCAGCACTCACAGAACATCAGCAGCTCTTAAGAGCCTGCCACTACTTAACCTGTACCTTTCCAACAACCAGGAACAGTAGCTGAGAGGTGAGGGTCTGTTTCTGTCAACCCTTTTTTGTGTTCCCAGCCAGGACCATGATTGCTCTCCCTTTATAAACTGCAAGAGAGAAACCTCTCATACCAACCCTCTGACATCAGGGGCTGCTTTGCCTCCTGACCATCTCTACATCATTCCTGCTTTTGTGGGTATTGCACTATTTTCCTTTGGCCTTTCCACAGCCAAGTGGGTTGTATGTATCCTACTTACAACTTCTCCAGCAAGGCAGACACAGCGTCAGTGAAGATACTGCAGAAAGCTGATAGTTCTTCACCAGATGTCCAGGAGCATTCCTGCTTCTTCTGTCATACCTGGTGTCTTGCACAAGTCTGTCCTCACTGTGGGACAGCAGAGACTTCAGTGCCCTGGTGGTGAAGGGATGTCCCTAGCTGCTCCATAGCTGGGCACAATGCTTGCCACAGGAAATTGGGCTTTTCCCGGGTGTAACCATGGGTAAGTAGGGCAGGAAGGGAGGCAGGAAACCTGAGTGCGAAGCAGAACAGCAATACAAACAAAGGAACAAAGCAGCAATGAGAGAATAGAATAGAATAGAATAGAATAGAATAGAATAGAATAGACTAAAATATGGGAAAACAAAAAGCAAAGCATATTGAGACCGTGGTTGGAGCAATGAGGATCTGTGCAGCTCGCAGCTGTTCCAGAGTGAAACACATACCAACCCTAGCGCTTGCATTTTTGCGTTTCAAATGTCAAGCTATTTCTAAACATCGCATTTTAGCTGCTTCAACTACCTCCTCCCTTGAAACTTGTTTAAAACCGATGTCTGGGATCCTGGAGATGTTTGTGTCTAACACTGCTACTTTCTGTTACACCAAAGCTGTGTTTACTTCAGATCTGCAAGAGGCCAACTGACCTGTTCCAACAACTTATGATCTGCTCTTATCAGTTCCTCTAGATGGTTCTATTTGCTCCTAATGATGTGGCTATACAAAGTCTAACCTGCAAACTAAAGAAACCCCCCTGCAGGATAAAGTAAAACCAAATACTAAAGCTGGAGATGTTTGATAACAAATCATTGTCTGGTGACTCAGTCTCTCAGCCTTGCTCAGTTACCCATCTACACGAAATGTAGCTTGAGGAAAACAGGTTTAACTTCTTATTAAAATCAGGAGGAAACATTATCAAAGCAAAGACCACAGCCAGGATATTGTACTGAAGATAAGAGAAACTGATAGAAAGCAAGCCTTTTTGGCCCAAGCAGTGTTTCTATCTAGTAAAACAGACAAAACCTGGACTTCAGTCAGTGTCAGGCAGCTGGACTCTGCAATCAGTGCCGGTTTGCAAGGGCTGCACAGCCTGAGCCAGTAGCTTATGGTGAAGGAGCCACAGAAGGGTTTGAAACACAGCAGCACTGTGCTGATGGGAAGGAGCTGAAGTCTTTTCTCCATCCCTACTAAAGGCCTTTCCCTCCTTGATTTTCAGTGCCTGCTCTCACCAGACATTTCAGCATCACCCTCACTGCTTTTCCCTCCACACCCGACATCATGGACTACTTGTCCTGAGAAGGACAGAAAAGTGCTTTGCTCTCTGCCAAGCTGAGGCACTTACCTGCTCTTTAAAGCCCTGAACAGATCCTTACACCTGGTCCAAACCTGTGTCTTGTTTCCCCCACACATCATCCAGTTCCTGTCTCCATCTCATCCTCATCACTGAAGTGAGTGCCAAGAGAGCGTTGCCTGAGCTGCAGACCAAGGCTGAGATCACCCATGCGCTCTGCGTCAGCATCTGCTGGATCATAGTGAGAACTTCCCTTTGGGAGCTAACGCTGCAGGATCCTTAGATCTAATGTCTGCCTGGAGACAGGCAAGGGGAGAGTGGGAGAAACAATAAATCCATTCCAGAGCCACTCACAAAGAGCGCAAGTATGCATGGGGAAATTCCTTTCAGGAATAGGACCCTTTCCCTTCATTCAGTTTTTATATGGAGGGATACCAGAGCAAAGGACACTGTCCTTTCCTTGCAAAACAAGGTCTCTGCATGCCCAGATCTAGCCAGGAGTAACAGTTGGGCAGGTCATCTGCTTAATGATGAGCTCCCACAATGCAGGCATGGAGAAGGCACAGATCATGGCAAATCTTGATGCCCTGCTTCAAGGTACACCTGCTTATTAAAAGCATTTTGGTCTCCTGCATCACTCTCACCTTCCCTTCCAGCATTTTCCTCCATCTTGAGAGTGAAGGGCAGGCCAAGAAACAGCAGACAATTGCCACAGCGACACTGGAAGCACTAAATAGTGCGAATGGTCAAAACACAACCACAAAATGCTCAAACTCAGTTTTCCCTCAACTGTTTATTACAGTCAATAAAAATTCCCCGGCCTCCTTTTCCCATTGCTTAAATGGAACAAACAATAAGGAACAGCAGTGACGACAGACCAGTAGCCATTTTTCACAGTTTAGGCTTAAATAAAACTAAGCTTTCCACTACTCACTGCAGAATTAAACTGCAGAACCCACCACCACTGGATGGTGCAGAGATCAAGAGGGTAAATGAGTTCAGCAAGGGGCCCAACAA